CAGCCCTGAGCTAACATCCATGCCAATCCTCCTCTTTTTGCTGAGGAAGACCAGCCCTGAGCTAACATCCGTGCCCATCTTCCTCCACTTTATGTGGGACACCACCACAGCTTGGCCGGAGAAGCGGTGTGTCGGTGTGCGCCAGGGATCCGAACCCCGGGCCGCCAGCAGCAGAGCGCGCGCACTTAACCGCCACGCCCGGGGGTCGGCCCTCTTTTAGATTTTTCCTCTCTTTATCCTACCCTGAGAAGATGCTAGTTTTACAATGTACATAAAAAGCACATTAAAAAATGAGGGCGTCAGAGCACCCGTAGGTCCCTCTGTGGGGAGCACCCAGCACCGCCATCCGGGCGAGATCCGGCCCGGGACCCCCTCCTCCTCAGCGGCCTGCAGCGGCCACTCGGTGTCCTACCTCCTTTCGTCATCACGCCGGGCCCTGTCCATCACCACAGCCTCTCTGTAACCCGTGCTTTGGCGTGCACGCAGGGCCCTCGTCGCCCACGATGGGGGAGGACCCTGCACCTGTACCGTGACCCTGTTTTAGAGGAGGAAACAAGGCCCCGAGAGGTGAAGGGCCTGGCCCCAGCGCACACAGCCGAGGCAGCTGTGGCATGAATGGAAGGCCTCCCGACCTTTGCTGCCTCTTCCGCCTGCTCCGCTGTTGGCTCCTCGCTCTGAGTCTCTGTCATTCCTCCCTCCTCCCCCTCCTCCTCTGTCTCTGTGTCACCCACTCTTTCGTCCCACCTGACGAAATGGCCTGGGCCAGGCCTGTGCTGAGCTCCCCGGCCGGGAGGGATCTGTCTGCCCTCAGAGGACGAGTTAAAGAATGCTTCACACGGGGCATGCACGTGGCTTAGCGGTTAAGTGCGCGCACTCCGCTGCTGCCGTCCCGGGTTCGGATCCCGGGCGCACACCAACACACGGCCATGCTGTGGCGGCGTCCCATATAAAGTAGAGAAAGATGGGCACAGATGTTAGGCCGGGGCCAATCTTCCTCAGCAAAAAGAGGAGGATTGGCATGGATGTTAGCTCAGGGCTGATCGTCCTCACAAAAAAAAAGAATCCTTCACATGCCCCGTACATTGAGAATGGTGATGAATCCCCAGTCCTGCTATGAATGCAAATGATGGGGTAATCTAAACCTGGTGGGCCTTCTTGAGGCAGGAACAGCACATGCCAATGCCCTGTGGCTGGTGGGAGTGTGCAGTGCTGGAGGAGCAGTAAGGAGGCTCGTGTGGCTGGAGCAGGTGCAGGAGGTGGTCAGGGACCAGACGCTGCAGGGCCAAGCGCCAGAGCCTGGGTCTGGCCTTGACCTCGAAGTCATGGGGAGGCATTGAAGGTTTGACAGAGGACTGTTAATGTCAGATTTGTATTTTATAGTCTTCTTTTGTTAGCTGTGCTGTGAGGGGGACAAAGTGAACATGGGGGGACCAGAGAGGTTACCTACTGTCTGGGTACGGGGATGGCACACACCCTCACCACCTGGACAATGGGTACAGTGCTCCTGGGGTACAGATGGGCGTGTGGAGGCCCCGAGTAGGGCAGATGTCCCCAGGGCCTCAGCCCATCCCCCAGGCCCTCTCATCATGCCCTCCCCCCACCCTCAGTGCTGCGGTGCCTGGGCGTCCCCACCCGCGTCGTGACCAACTATAACTCGGCCCACGACCAGAACAGCAACCTGCTCATCGAGTACTTCCGCAACGAGTATGGGGAGATCCAGAGAGACAAGAGCGAGATGATCTGGTGAGACGGGGCCCAAGGTCGGGGACAGGGCCCAGTGGGGAGGGTCCCCTGCAGAGACTTCTCAGAGGAGGTCGCATCTGAATTGGATTTAAAAGTTGAACAGTATTTGGACAAGAGGCAACAGGGGGAGGGCCCTCCGGGCAGGGGGAACAGCACGAGCAGAGGCCGAGAGGGGGAAAGTCAACGCGCGACTGTGGAAGGGGTGGGGGAGAACAGGTCGTCGGGAGCCTGGAATGCCGGGTTAGGGGTCTGGGCTTGATTCCAAAGGCAGCGAGTTGTCGCTAAAGGCTTCATGCTGGGAGAGGGCCACGCTGACACAGAGGAGCAGGAGGGCAGGGGTGTGGTCCAGGCGGGCGGTGATAAGGCCCGAACCAAGGCAGAGCCCCGGGGCTGGAAAGGAAGGGACAGCCGAGAAATGAGGAGGTCCCCTCCGTGGACTTGAGGAGCCGCTGAAAGGGGAGGGTTGGGGAGGGGCAGTGAGAACCACTCCCGGTGTAGGAGTGAGCTCCTGGCCGGGGCCCGCAGGAGGAAGAGCAAAGAGGGGTGTCGGGGGCACGCGGGGCTCAGCTGAGGGCGCGGCGGGTGCGCACTGCCCGCGGGAGGTGGAGGTGGGAGTCTGAGTGTGAGTCCCGGCCCGTGTGCTGTTTCTTCCCGCAGGAACTTCCACTGCTGGGTGGAGTCGTGGATGACCAGGCCCGACCTGCAGCCGGGGTACGAGGGGTGGCAGGCCCTCGACCCCACGCCCCAGGAGAAGAGCGAAGGTGGGTAGGCGTGGGCCCATTACCTAGATGGGGAAACCGAGGCTCCAGAGGCCTCACCCAGAGTCCCTCAGCTGGAGTGGCAGGGCTGGCCTTCTAGCCCCGGTCTGGTGACTCCAGAGGCCGTTAACTGGTCCAGACGAGCGTGGAGGGACCGCACTCGTATTTTATAATACGCCTCTTTTATAATTTGAAAAGTAATTCACACGCATTGTGAAAAACAGAAAATATGGAGAAGCGCGAAGAAAAGAATCCAATGGCCTCTTGGTCCTCTCCCGCAAAAGAGGCATCGTTAACATTCACACACAGCTACCGGTAATTCCAGATTATATGCTTGTTTGTATACGTGTGTGTGGATGTGAGAAAGAGAGAACAAAGGCAAATTTGGTGAAACCAAATGATCCTTTCTCAGAATAATATTTTTAAATGCGTATAATATAATACCTAGGGTTACAAAGAAAACCAATCACACTGAAATATAGTTATCAAAGATTTCTAACATGCACATGTGATATAATAATGTATGCTTTATATAACAAGGCCTGGGGGTAGAGTTAATGAGTTCCATCGTTCAGTGGTAGAGATGGGCATAAACGATATTTCCAGTTATCTGTGACAACTGTAAAGTGATGTGAAGATATCTGTGCTTCTTATGAGTGACAAGTCATAAGTGCACCTAAGACTGTGGTTTGTTTTCTGCTTTCACAATCGCTGGAAGTCTATCGAAGTGTAGTGAAAATAAAGATGTAATGCTTTCCCATCCAAGTTCATGGACCCTCAATTCTATCTGCTGCCCCTTGGGGGTTCGTGGACCCCAGGTTAGGAACTCTGGCCACATGTGGCCTTTTCTCCTGGCTGTCACTTCTCCATAAATCATTAGCATTTTTCTATCAGATGGTGTTCTGTGATTTGAATTTTAATTCAGCGTTACTGTGTTCCAGCAAAGGGACGCACTGTACGATGGCTGCCCAGCCTCTGGTCCTCAACATGTAAATTTGTGAGCAGTTTGAGGCAGCCGTAGACCACGCTGAGATAAACATCTGGCAACTCACGTTCATTCAGTCAACAGACACGGCCTGAGTCTGTGTCGGGCACTGACTGCACGTCTCGGTGTGGCAGGAAACAAGACAGGCACGCTGCCTACTGCCTGGCTCCTTCATTTCCTTAGGGTGCCTTGGGACACATTTCTATTTCATTATCAAACACTTACACAGCATTTGGTATACAGGAACCCTCATTAGGTGGGTACAAATATCCCCACAAGAAACCGGGGCTGAGAGAATTTAAGTGACTTACCCAAAGTCACACAGCTAACAAGAGGCTGAGCTGAGATTTAAACCCTAAAAGCTGGGCTCAGAGTCTCCATTCTTAGTTCTTACCCTCTGCTGCCTTCCCATAAATGGAGTCCCTGAGTCAAAGAACCATATGGTCTAGAGCCTTTTTGCCACACGGGGTTGAATTGTGGGGCGTTTGGAGGGTGGCGCCGTCCCCTCAGCCCAGACCCTCTCTCCTTCCCCCATCCCCCCCAGGGACGTACTGCTGTGGCCCGGTTCCGGTTCGTGCCATCAAGGAGGGGGACCTGAGCACCAAGTATGATGCGCCTTTTGTCTTCGCCGAGGTCAACGCCGACGTGGTGGACTGGATCCGGCAGGACGACGGGTCCGTGCACAAGTCCGTCAACCACTCGCTGGTGGTGGGCCTGAAGATCAGCACGAAGAGGGTGGGCCGCGACGAGCGCGAGGACATCACCCACACCTACAAGTACCCGGAGGGTAGGTGCCCACGCCTCCAAGCCACCGGCGCTGCCTTGCAGATAAGCAGCCTGTTTTACCAGCCCAGCGGGCTCGTGTGTGCGTGTGCGTGCGTGCGTGTGTGTTATTGGCAGCCTGCATGCAACAATGATCTGCAGATTACTCTCCACCTTAAGAAATTCCTTAGAAACAAGCACAAACTTACCAAACACACTGGGAGACCGTGGTAGAGGATTATTCATGTGGGAAAAGAATTCTAAATTCCACGAAAGGATTCCATTTGGTTTTTAAGCCTTGCGTTTTTGGTTGGTTTGACTCTTAATAAAACTGAAGAGGATGACAGTCATATAGGAGAGGCGTGCATCTTAACAGAAAAGTTAATGATGTCCGTCCTGTTTATTAACCGTTTTTATCAGTGGTGGGACCTAGGACTATAGATAGGCAATTCCACGCCTGTTTTGTTGCCAAGTATTTGTACTGGAGAGGAGAGAAAGTCCAGAGGGGCCCCGGAGGGGAGGTTCCTGGAGCCGTGTACTGTGTGTTTTTGCAGTATTTCACATACCACTGGGGAAGTGAGCATGAGGGTGAATGGGGAAGGGTTAAAGCAAAGAGAAACAGGCCAAGAGAAACTTAAAGATAATAAGATGAGACCAATCAGACACAAAGATGAAGCTTCTTTCTGCTACTAGCGTTAAACCCGTAGGGGAAAAAAGGGCAAGATTTATTTTAAAAAGTGGATTTGAGCACATCCAACAGCCAATTCAATACGACAGATATTTTCTAAGTATCCACTGTGTGCCAAGCATACCGAGGCTCACAGAGGTGACTGAGAAACCACAGCCCCGGCCCTCCCCTGACCCCCACTGACTCTCCAGGTCTCACTGGGATTGGGTATTATGTCCATGCTCTAGCTGGAAGGGGTAAAACAGAAGGAGAAGATGCTTTCCCTGGCCTCTGAAAGGTCTAGAGCTGAGGGTTTGGTGGAAGAAATAGATATGTAGGCAACAGCACCGGAGGAGAAAAGAAAAGGAGCATAGGAGAGAGGTAAATGGAGTATAAGGGAGGGCATCATTCCTGCTGGCGGGCTCAGCAGGGGGAGGCGGGAGGGAGCGGATTTCAGTAGAAGTAACCCCCGTGCAAATGCTGGGAGGTGGGAGAGTCTGCCTTGTATTAGTGCCTACTGCGCACCAAGCACTGTCGTAAGCACTGGGTATAACATGAAGATAAGTACAATAACAGTCATTGTCCTCGAGAGGCTCAAGAGCATAAGCACATGAGCAGAAAACAACCTGGTGGGCTAAAAAGCCATGATGGGCAACAGGCAGCTGTGAAACTCCAGAAGACACTGTGACTCATCCATCCTGGGGAAGGAGGAGTCAGAGAAGGCTTCCTGGTGGAGGGGTCTTTTGGGGTGGGTCTTGAGGGATGTGTAGGTGTTCATACTCTTTCCTCTTCCTGGCCCAGAAAGGTAGAGAAGGGGCTCCTTCACGGCTGCTCTGAGTCACCAGGACTCTGGAAGCCAGCTTGCCTTGGCCAGCCTCCTACTCATTGACCCCTATTCCAGTCGTGATGACGCCCTCTTCCCTATCTTCACAGGGTCCCCAGAGGAGAGGGAAGCCTTCAAGAGGGCCAACCACTTGAATAAGCTGGCTGAAAAAGAGGAGACGGGGCTGGCCATGCGGATCCGCGTGAGCCAGAGCATGAGCATGGGCAGCGACTTCGACGTCTTTGCCTACATCACCAACAACACGGCCGAGGACCACGCCTGCCGCCTCCTGCTCTGCGCCTGCACTGTCAGCTACAACGGGATCCTGGGGCCCGAGTGTGGCGCCAAGGACCTCCTCAACCTCTCCCTGGAGCCCTTCTCCGGTAAGCTCTGTGTTCCTGGAGCACTTATCGACCACTGACCGACCACGTGCTAGGTAGTGCCCTGAGCACCTAGTGTGTGCCGTTTACCTCGCAGACACTCACACAGCACTTACTCTGGGTCAGGCCCTGCCCGAAGCACTTTATAAATAGCAACCCATTTAATTCTTACAACAAAAGTAGGAGGTAGATTCTTTGATGACCCTCATTTTCCAGATGAGAAGACTGAGTGCGGAGAGGTTAAGTAACTTTCCCAAGGCCACACAGTACAGGAAGTGACCTGTACTCTTAGCAACTATACTATTTTGTTCTGTCTCGTCTTCACCTGACCCCTGACTGCTTTCCCAGACTCTCTACTACCCTCTTCCAGCCAATTCCTTTTCTCTCTCTCCAGCAACTCTTAAGACTGCAGGAGCCTCTGCCCACTGCCCCTGCGGGAACCTGTCCTGTTCCTCTGGAGGTTCTCAGCCTCAGAGAGAGGACGTTCTAGACCGGCGCTGCCCATAGAACTTTCTGCGATGAGGGGGGTCCTATATCTGTGCTGTCCAGTGCGGTGGCCACTAGCTCAACGTGGCTGGTGAGCACTTGAAATGCAGCTGGTGCAGCTGCAGAGCTCAACTTGTAATTTCACTTAATTTAAAGTTCAGCAGCCACATGTGGTGGGAAGCGTCTGTACTGGACAGTGTAGCTCTAATAGCAGCGGAGGGAACGCCCAGTCCTCCGTGGGGAGAGGAATTGTCCTCCAGCCCCCATCTTCACCTCTCAAACGGCTCCAGCGCCAGCCTGGCGCCCCCGTGGGGCAGATCCCCTGCCCTTCACCCCTTAGCTCTGGGTCTCCCCTGTTTGGGGTAAAATAATGTCACAGATGACCCAGCCCTCAGCCCCGGGCAGAGCCTCTGTCATTTCATCTCTTGGTCCCTTTCGCTGCCCAGCTTTGTTACCATACCTGGTTGTCTTCCTAAAAATAAGCCAGAGGCCCTGAGAGGGGTCGTGGCCACTCAGGTCACTTAGTGAGGTGGCGCAGAGCCGGGTCTCCCGCCCCCAGCAGCCGAGCCATTTCTGCGTTTGGAGCCTGCAGACCTGAGGAGGGCGGAGGGGTCTCGGAACTGGGAGAGGACGGGAGGAGTGGAGTAGACCCTGACTGTGCTCAGAGGGGCAGCGTGTGAACCGGTAGAACATCCATCGTCCCTGGGGCCTCAGAGGGGAGGGTCCAGCTCGCTGTGTCACCTGGGCAGACGGCTGCCTCCCTGAACCTCGGTGTCCCCATCAGGCCTCTGGGAGTCATGACCAACAGTGTCAGACCGTCAGGTGTGGCAGAGGCTGTGCACACCGTGATACTGGAAGCCCGCGGGCTGATGCCTGGAACCACTGAGAAGCCCAGGGCCGGGAGTGCTCCGTTTGCCCTCCCTCCTCCCCTTCCCTTGTCTGTCAGACCCTCTTCCTCTCCTTTATTTCCTCTGCCTCCACCCTTGGTCCCGTGGGCTGGCATGTGGGGCACAGCCTTCCCATTTCTGAGAAAGCCTATCTGTGTCTCGGGCCGGGAGTCTGCGGTATAGACAGTGCCACCTCCTGGTTTTTCTATCTCGGGCCACCCTGGGCACTTCTGGAACCGCGTGCCCAGAGCTGACCCTCCATCAGGGTCCGTAAGCGGGGACAAGCTCTCAGGGGCCGAGCCACTTGGCACCAAGGCTGGGCCCCACACTTACGCTGTTAAGAGACATGTTCTGAGCCAGCCAGACCTGGCTTTGAGTCTGGCCTCTCCCACCTTCTAACTGTGTAACCTCGGGCAAGGTGACCATGCTCTCTGAGCCTCAGATCATACTCATGCGTTAAATGGGGCAGTCGCACGCCCACCTGAGGGGCCGCTGCAAGGACTAAGGAGCAGATGCGTGCTCAGGAAGTATCTGGAAAGCGTCACATGGTGCCTGGACATGATGGGGTCCTTTGCTCCACGCTGAGCAGAAGTACAAACAGGTGTGGGGGGCAGAGAAGCCCCTGGGCCCTTCCTGAACACCTGCTGGGCTAGAGAGTGGTCTCAGCGCTGGCCTCAGAAGTTCCTCAGCCCCTGCCAACCTTGATGGCATGCAAAGGACCCAGCTCTCGCCTCTGCGTCCAGGCGCCAAGAGTCCGGGGTAGGGGTCCGTCCCTACAGGTGTACAGGGTGCTCAGGACACCCAGGTTCTAGTTCCTGCAGTTCTGATGCCGGGCTGTGGGCTCCTGGGTGTTTCTCGTCTCCATTCCAGGCCTCAGGTCCTCCATTTGTGCAAAGGCTGGTTCTTCTTTGAAGGGCGCCTCCAGCCCCTGTGTGCGAACGCACACGTTGTCAGTTCCCTCTCGTGCCCAGAACCGCTTCAAAGGGAGGGAGTGTCTTTCCTGGAATGTGTGGCACGAGATGAACTTCAGCCTGGGCCAGTGATGCCAGAATTCTTTCCTCCTGGGCCTCTGTTGAGTCACCCTTCGCCTCCCGGATGCCATCGGGCGCCTTGGGGCATTGTTCTGCGGAGGCTTCAGACGAGCCTGTCAGTGTTTCTCATCATCCTGGGGATGTATTCACAGTAGAGAGAGCTCCGTGGGGGCACAGCCTGCAGGAGAGGGCAGAGGAGGGCAGAGGTCCTGTGTGCTGCCCTCAGGCTGCAAGGTGGGGCCAGTCTGGGATGCCCTATGGGGGCTTCCCATGCCAAGCTCAACCTGAGATAGATTCTCTCTCCCCGGGAGGCCCCACACTTTGGCTGGGTTGCTTGCTATTCTTTGATGATAAGATCTGGGGATTTCCATGTGTTAATGGACAGGAAGCCAGGCCTGGGACAGCTGAACAGAATCCAGTGCCCCCACCCCTGCCTCCTTGCTCTGCTGCCTCTCTCACTTCCCCTTCCTGCCCCCACCCTTTCTCGCTCTCTCCTCCCGCATCCCTTCAGGTGGGTCACCGGGAATGCAGCCAACGTGGCCTGGGTGATCACGCCCAAGGCACCTTCCAGAACAGGGCAAATCATCTGAGGAATGAGACTGATCCACCATGTTTCCTTCTCTCAGCCAGCATCTGGCCCTAGGCCAAGGCCGTGACCCCGGGCCTGTGGACAGCAGTCCTCAAAGGTCCAGGCCCACCCTGGCTCAGCCTGCTGAAAAAGTTAACAGTTGGGGCCACGTCCTCCAAGCTCCTGGAGGACGGTGTTTTCCTTCTTTCCTGTGGAGCTGGTCAGAGTTTCCACTCTGTTCCACCAGGTCCCGACCCAGGAATTTTCACTCCTTTTTGTCCCTTTTGGCAGACGGTTTGGTCAGCTTGCTCCACGTCATCTGACCAGAGTTTGGGGCAGATCCACCCTGCGAACGAGTGGCTAGAGGGCTGGGCGCGCTTAGGGCAGCCTTTTCCCAAGAGTGGACGTGAACAGCGTGTGCGAGGCCAGGCCAGACCTTGACTCACGCGGTGAGAAAGTGACTGTCCCTCAGGGCTTCCCAGTCCTTCAGGTGACCTCACGGGGCACGTCTCAGCAGGCGCTAATGGGTCTCGGTGTCTCTAACCCCTGCTAATCTCTCTCTCTAACCATAAGGTCAAATCTCAAACTCAGAGTCTTCGGCAGACGAGAATATCTAACCCGAGTTTACAGTTACCCTCTATTTATGGTAAACGAGACTGGTTTGCTGCAAATAATGACAAAAAGTTCCCCTAAGCAAAAACGGTTAAAAAGCATAAAGTGAGTGGACTGAAAGAAAAATAATGAGCAAATAATGAGGATATCCTCAGATGTACGGGGGGAGATCAGGAAACGCTGGTCTAGTGGGGGAGGCAGGTGACAGATGGCAAAAAAAGAGGCAACAGCATCTCCCATCATGGCACTGGGGCAAAGCCTTGGACAATGAGGAGAGGTTGGCCAGGCTCCAGAGAGCCCAGACCACCCGCCAGCGCTCCTCTCTGACGGGGGAGGCTGGAGGAGCAGAAGGGGTTTGCACACAGTTCTGTGTGACCGAGTGGACAGGTGGGGCCCAGTGCAGGCCTGTGGATTCTCAGGCCAGTGGTCTTTTGATTGCTCCTTCCTGCCTTCTACCATGGTGCCTTCGGGCCTCAGTGTTCTCTTCAGGAAAATGGAGCTAAAACCACACTTCATTTCTCTGCTGTGGGAGGGGTCGACCCTGCTGGCTTCTTTCTCACCACCTCATCACAGCACTGCTTTTGCTCTGAAGTGACCTCTGGTCTTATCTGTGCCCAGCGGGTGCTGGATGTCTGGGGGAACAGAGGAGAAACAGACGGGGGAGGTCATCTTCCCAGGCTCACACAGCCAATCAGTGGCCAAGCCGGGCCAGGTCTCCCGATCTAAGCACTTACTGGCAGAGGTGTTTCTTCGTCTGTAAAATGGGTACAGTCCCTCACGGCGGGAAATGAGCTCGTGTCCATTGCGGGGGCTCTTTAGCGAGTGCAGGTTATGCTGCTGGACTCTAGATCTGGGTTGTCAGTTCAGGTTTCCTGTGGCACATACCAGCCTCGTGACCCGGGGCGATGTCATTTCACCTGCCCGAGCCTCGGTTTCCTCATCTGTAAATTGGGCAATAATAAAAGCACAACCCTTCTGGGGCCGTTGTGAAGGTGAAGTGGGAGAACATCATGTAAAGCATGGCTCCTGGCCCAGCAGCAGGTGTCAGCTCGATTCTGCCCATGATGCGGCAGCAGCTGACACGCCCACCCAGAGTGCCGAGTGTGCCAGGCCCCGCCCCGCCACCCACTCCTGATTCCTCCCACAGCCCTCTGGGTGCCCTTACCGCACAGACTGGAGAACTGAGGTCCAGTGAGGTGGAGTGACTTGCCCAGCGTCCCCAGTTAGCAAAGGGCAGAGGCAGGGTTAGAACCCAGGTCTGTCGGAGCTCCGGGGCTTCCTTACCAGCTGTCTGCCTCCCCTCCCCAGGTCGTCCCTGGGAACCTTGGAGCAGGTAGGGGAAATGCCTGGGTCTGCCCAGCCTTTCACTGGCTGTGTGACCTCAGCACATTCCTCTCCCTCTCTGTGCCTCCTGGAATTGCAGGAGGAGAGGCGGGGGTGGTGATTCAGCTCTCACGAGTCCCCTCCCCTCCCACTCCTGCAGAGAAGAGCATTCCCCTTCGCATCCTCTATGAGAAGTACTGTGACTGCCTGACAGAGTCGAACCTCATCAAGGTGCGGGGCCTCCTCGTCGAGCCGGCTACCAACAACTACCTTCTGGCCGAGAGGGACATCTATCTGGAGAATCCAGAAATCAAGATCCGGGTAAGGGGCAGCAGAGCAGGGTGGGGGGCGGGGGCGGGGTCCCAGGACAGGCCCCCACGCAGGCACACACCTGCATCCCCGCGACCTCCAGATCTTTGATGCCTCAGGGATCCTCAAATCAAAGAAAAGCATTGAGAAGACAAAAGAATTTGGGACTCGTAGACTCTAGGAATGAATCTTAGAATCCAGAGTGGGAGGGTCATGGAACCCAGGAATCTTAGAAACGCGGACGCTTAAAAGCTAAACTCCTAAAGCTGGGTCCCCAGGCCCTGGTGGGGCAGCGAGGGCGGAATAGTTAAGGGCACAGAGTCTGGAGTCTGCCTGGGTTTGTGCCTGGATGGCCCTGGGCATGTTACTTTGCCCCTCTGTGCCTCAGTTTATTCAACTGTAAGATGGGGTAATACCAGCACCTAGGGGTGTTGTGAGGATTAAGTGGGCACCCACAGGAAGCCCACACAGAACCATCTCTGGTGCATTATAAGGGCTCGGTAAAAGCTGAGTATTCTTATCACCATCATCTTTATCTTTATCGCCCTTCACTTGGAGGAGCCACAGCCCCCAAACCCCAAAGGCAGCAGCTACAAATAAATGGTGAAGAGCAGAGGGGGAGGGGGGCCTGTGTGCCAGACACTCTGCTAGGAGCTTGCACACACTAGCTCAGTTTATCCTCATGAGTACCCTGTAGTCAGGCATTTCTCTCCCATGGAGAAACCAAGGCCCAGAGAGGGTAACCTTCTCAGGGTCACACAGTGAGGAGGGGCAGAGATCAGCCTGGCTCCAAAGCCTGTGATCTTTCCACTCCAGATCCTAGAACAAGGGAGGCACTTTAGACACCCCCTGGGTCACATGGAGCCTCACTGCGGCAGCTGGGCAGCTATCATCATCCGTGTTTTGTAGATGAGGAAACTGAGGCACAGAGTTGGGGAGTGAGAGTGCCAGAGCTGGGCAAACATCGGGCCAGTTGCAGCAAATACAGAGATGGCGCAGCCGGGACACTGCCTACTCTCGAGGGGCTCTGGGCCCCGCCCTCAGTGCTGCCCCTGATGTCTGCCCTGCGCTGTCTTCCAGATCCTGGGAGAGCCCAAGCAGCACCGCAAGCTGGTGGCTGAGCTGTCCCTGCGGAACCCGCTCACCGTGCCCTTGTTAGGCTGCGTCTTCACCGTGGAGGGGGCCGGCCTGACCGAGGAGCAGAAGGCCGTGGAGATGTAAGTTTGCTCGTCACTCTAGCTTGGGGGCCTGGGAGCAGAGGGTGGACGCTAATGGGCGAAGGGGTAGGGGAAGGGGTAGCCCTCAGGCCCCAAACCCTGGCCCATAACCCCTCCTCTCAACTCCCACACGCCAGCCTAATATACTCCCCCCCCCCACCGTGTCCACTCCCACACGCCCTCGGGGCAGAGTTCCTGCCCTCACATCCTCTCAACACCCACACCCGTTAGCTGCTTTCCAGGAACGCGTCTTCACGAACCTGAACGTTATACGCTCAATCACTAAGCACCCGCCTCTGGACACACAGGTCCTCGCAAAAGCACGCGTATCAGCACCCTGAATGTCCACATGCACGTGTCCACATATGTACAGACACACACACATACGAGCACACACTTCTTATTTTTTACTTTTTTATTGTAATGTAACTTATATACAGTAAAGAGCACAAATCATGCGTGTACAGCTCACTGCATTTTCACGCATGTGGTCACCTGAGCACACCCACTCCTACCCCCAAGCACACCATCCACTTCCATGCACACACACACACACACACACACAGACGCACACACACATGGGCCCCTCTTCATGTGGGAGGGCAGATTGCCCAGGCCCTCAGAGAGTGGTGAGTGGGGCGCATTTTATTCTTGTCGACATCAAGTGTACATCCGTGCAGGCTCCGTGCTAAGTTCCCGGTAGACACACATCCTCCTGGCTTGACGCCATCAGGCCTGGGCCCGTCCTCTCACCCTCTTCCTCTCTCTCTCCTAAGCCCGGACCCGGTGGAGGCCGGGGAGGAGGTCAAGGTGAGGGTGGACCTGCTGCCTCTCCACGTGGGCCGCCACAAGCTGGTGGTGAACTTCGAGAGCGACAAGCTGAAGGCCGTGAAGGGCTTCAGGAACGTCATCATTGGCCCCCCTTAACGGGCCCCTGTGCCAGCCCCACCTCAGCCAACTGAGAGCCCCCAACTTGACCCCATCTTTATCCCAAGCTAATGAGCAAAATTTGCCCCTTCTTGGGCCCCAGACCCCAGGGCAGGAGTGGGCTGTACTTTGGAATGGAATGTACTTCTGGCCTATCTTGTCCCCTGAGCCTGGTTCCCCATCCCTTACTTGTGAGGAATGTTCTGTGCCTCCACAATGGGAGCCCTGACCTTGGCTGACTGGGCCTGGGGCCAGGGAGGAGGGACCCACTCCTTCCTCTCCAGCCCAGATGCCATTAGGAGAGCCACTGACCACGCACCATATTGTTTGATCTACTCCAGGGCCCCTTGGAGCAGGCAAAAAAGAGACAGTGTGCCCATTGGCTGGATCAGGGAACTCAACTCCCTAGAGTGTCCTGTACCCCTTCCCCAGACTGTGCGCGGGGCCACAGGCACCCTCGGAAGAGCCAGAGCAGATGGGGATGAGGAGGGTCCCAGGAATAGGCCAGGCCCAAGCTCCCCCCACATCCCAGCAGCCCTGGCCCAACAGTCCCCCACCCACCTCACCGTTGTGAGGCAGCTACTATATGCCAGACACTTCCTGTGCTCGCTGGTGCTCACGTGGCCACCAACCCATTTAATCACCACGGGAAACCGCAGAGTGGCAGCTGCTTTCTCCAGGAGGAGACGGAGGCCCAGAGAAGGGAGGCGGCCCACTCTGTCCCGGTGGGCTGCTGGCTGTTTGCAAGGCTGGGTAATGTGAAGGCACAGGAACAGAACCTGGACCTTCTGAGTCCGAGTCCAGCACCCTGTTCGTGACACCAGCTCTGACCTGAGAATGTCAGGGAGGACATTTGGGACCTGATCCAAAAGGACCAGTTGGGGTAAGAAGGTGAGGAGGGGTTTGGAGGGATCAGAGCCCTGAGTTCAAGCCCCAATTCCAGCCAGCCACTGCCTTCCGCTCTCTGGGCCTCAGTGTCCTCGCTGGTTAAAGTAGTGGCTGAACCAGCTCACCTCCAAGGCCCTCTCTTTCTGCACCTCTGATGCGTTATGTGACCCAGCCTTGCAAATGACAGCGAGTCCTACTCCCTGGCTCCACGGAGCCTTAGCCCACAGGCCTGGGATGTTTATGAGTGTGCAGCCATGACCATGACCCCTCCCCTGCCCCAGCCCTGGCCAGGTCCCCCACCTGTGCCCGGGCACCTTCCTTCAGACCCCGCTTGTAGGAGAAATGAGCCCCAGAGGCCCTTGTGCTACCCATGAGCCTGCCCACCACAAGACCTAGACTTCACAAGAGCCTTAGCTGCTGTGCTGGTCACTAACCAACAAGGTGGGCACCTCAGCCACCCCCTCTCCGCACGGCCAGGGCCCGGGAACACAGCCAGCCTTTGCCCCTGAGTAAGCCTGGGGGACCCAGGAGATGTCATCTCTGACTTTATCCCCGCCCTCTCCACATGACTGGGCCTCCCTCAGGCTGGAAGAGAGAAGGAGGGAGAACTCTCTAGCTAGGGTGGGGTCACAGCCTCCAGGCCCCTCCAAATCCCAGGGAGGGACATGGGGAAAGTCACACTGAGGCACTTAGAACTTTCTGCTTCACACAGGAAAGAATCACAAAATGAGCCAATATGGATATGTTCTATATAAATATAGCTCTATTTCTCTCTGGTTTTATAAACGCTTTTGGGTTCCAAGCAGGCAGTAGATGTGCTTTTTGAGCCACAAGGAGCGAGCACTAAAATAAAAGTTTATTTTTCACATTCAAACAAGGTCTGGTCTTCATGCTTTTGAGGAGGATGGGTGGGCGAGCTCATTCACATCGGGACCAGCCACCTCCTGCCTAAGAGCTATTCCCTAGCCTCAGCCCCTCCCCCAGGTCTAAACTTTACTGGCATTCAAGGCTCTGCATAGTCCAGGTCCATCCTTAATCTCTTCCTCGAACAAATCATGTTTGGGCTACGATGAACTTCCTGTATCCCTCCAAATGCCCTGTGCACTTGTCAGCCTCTTGGCTTTTGCATGTATATTTCTCTGAGCCTGGAGTGCCCATCCTCTTCCTTACCCATCTTGTGAACTCCTACTCATCCTATAATACTTAACACCAAAGTCACCTCTTCTGTGAAGTCTTCCCAGATTTCTTCTCAGGCCCCCAGAGCCCTGGAACATAGACCAACTGAAACATTTATCCCAGCAAACTTGAATTCCATGTTGCTATATCTGACCCCCTCCCCATCCTATCTGAAGTCCTCAAGGGCAGGGATAAAAATGCTAATAAATGCTGAATTGGTAAATCAATTTGTTTCAGCTCAGTTCCCATAAGACCAGTGCTGTCCAATAGAAATATAATACAGGGCCGGCTCCGTGGCTTAGCGGTTAAGTGCGC